TAATAAACAAAATAACATAAACAACAAATGAAATTAATTAAGTCTCTGTAAACAAAATTGTCCTTCAAAAAAAAGGAACTACTACACAGAAATACTTCATAATAAAATTACTACAGCGTAATAAAAATACTCCTAGAAGTAATTTTTTCACAACAGTGACTCAAGTAAATATAATTAAGTAAATAAATTCAACTCTGTTTATTTCCACCTGAAACAAAGCGTCAAATAAGCATTTAAGATATTTTAATAATTAAGTAAATTAGCAAGTGAAGCTCATTTCTGAATGACAGAAACAGTTTGAATATGTTTGAGGAGGAAGCTTCACCTGCTCATCCTCAGAACAAGCAGCTCCTGATTGGTCGTTTTCAGAGGAACTGCTCAGCGGGTCTGAACGCGTCCTGGTGGCCCGCGGTGCGTCGCCCTCCGTCCCCAGCGGGGCTCCGGCCTCCAGCGGGCCACCGACCCACCAAAGCCCCACGCTGCCTTCATGCAGCAGCGAAGGGCCCAACGCGAAGCCGCGGGGCAGAACCGAGGACAGGAAGGAGGCGAGATCAGGCAGAAGACGGGCCATTCACCTGGGGAGGGAAATAAACGTACCAGAGACTTTAATTATTATTCAACTAAGATTGTGCCTGTCACGTTGGAACAGGATAACAACCGGAGCAGATTATCGCCACCTATCGGGATTTCAGCAGCTTTGAAGCTCAGCTCCTCAGTGAAAACCAAAGCGTGAAATTCCTAATCAGACTTTCCTTCAGAGCAGAGGGACAAAGACAGAGGATCAGACCTGAGCTGCCTGGATTATTCTTGGAACCAAGACCGATAAGTTCACAGCTGCTGAGTTTATGCATCATGTCCTCATCATATCTGGTTTTCTGTTTTGAAACAAACAATAAAAACACATTTCAAAATTATTAAAATAATTTAATTAAGTTTAACCCAAGTTTTTTAAGCTCTTTTCAAGATCATTATTAGTTCAAATCCAGACTAACATGAACTACAAACAAAAACGACTTACTTTAAAATATTTAACTTAAATAACATTGTCAACTTCAGTTGGTTATTTTAAACTCTGGCATGTGGCTCCAGTGCTTTGCTAACTTCAATGCCTTGTCACAGTTTACAGCAAAATGTATTTAACTGTTATTGGTGAGACACTTCAGTCAACTACTGAAATCCTTTGGTATTTACTTCCCCACAACAAAGGAGCCGGTGGTGAATAACTCAAATTAAATATGTTGACTTTAACTGTCAAAATATACAATGATGAGAGCCAAAACTGAAGCACAGATCTAAATTAAGGGTGAGTAAACATGTAACTGAACCACAAACACAAAGACGTCATATTAAAAGTCATTCTGTCTATTGTTTTCCATCACTTGTATTTTCATAAACTTATTTTAACTTCCTAAACAATTTGTTAATCAGACAAACTGAACTTTTAAATATTTCTGCTTCATAGCTAAGTTTGTGTTTAGGGAAATTTTGATAAAAAATTGTGGTTTACCTGTAAAAAAAAAAAAAAAAAAAACCCATATGCTTCACCCCTACTCTAAAATACAGATAATTTCAAGCATAAGGGAACAGTAAGATATGCAAATTCCTGTATTAAATTTATATTTCTAGTAACATTTTCCTTAAATTTACTTTGTATTTTGGGAGACCAAAAAATCCCTATTAGTTATTTATTATTGAAAATTTATTAATTAATGGACGCATTTAAGTTATAGTTTAATGACTTATTTGTGGCACATTTGGAGCTCCACTGGGTTAAAACTGAACACACAAATAATCCATTATTATTGTGTTGATTGCATTTAGTTTAGCTCATAACTCAGAGAAACTCACAGCTGACCAACAGAAATGAACCTGTTAGCATGATGCTAAACGTATTTCGAATGTGTTTAAACTCAATTTTATTTTCAAGGGTTCTATGATTTCTAATATTCATAAAATCAATTCAATAAACATCGGAACGTTTTATAAACCGCTAATGCTGGCGGTGAAACTAAATGTTGGAGTTTATAGAAATTAACATAATATTAGTTTAGCATCGGTTAGCGTAGGCTAACCGGCTCATATTCTAGACCGAAAAACGGTTTTAAAAAATCAGATTAGGAACAAATGGGTTTGTACATACACTAAATGTGATCGGTGTCTTGAGTCGAGTGGTGTTTGTTTTAAAAAAAAATACCGTTCACTCCGTTAAAATTAACTCTGGGAAAGCTATCCTTATCCAGCAAAGAAAAACAAATCAGCGGAAGTCCGGTCGGAAACATGGGTTGTTTTATTTAGTTCCGCCCAACCGTTACAAACAAATGTGAGTGTACTTGCTTGATGTATGGTCAGTTATCGTCCTAAAAATATAGATATATTAGTTTAAACACATTTTATATTTTATTTAGATTCTTTCATCATAAAAGCTATGTTAAAAAGACGACATTGGGTTTATATACTATAAAATACAACTGGTAGTGTTCTGAATCCAGTAATTTAATTTTAACGAGTTAATTTACAAAAGATATGTTTCATATACATGTCAGCACTTTTAGGTCTCCCCAGCCGCATTATTTTGGTCACATTAGTAAATTAAACTAATACAAACGGCCACAGATGCAACAAAGTTGCCATCTAGAGGTCGTTTTTATAGATGGATTCAAATTTACTATCATTTATGATAAGTAAATTATCCCCCCGCACATTCCCCCCCAAAAAACTTTTTTAATCTGAATAAGTAATTTAATAACTTCTACATCTGAAGGGAAAATATTTGTACATTTTTTATTACAATTTTAGTTTGCTTTATTTGATTTATTTATTTTATATTTATTTTTATATTTTATGTATATTTATATTATTTCTTTTATCAACATTTAGCAGCAATAAATTAAAGTCAGGTTTTAGTTGGAGCTCTTGGATTTTTTGCAGTTTCTCTGATCTTTCCTCATTCTTACCTTGCGGTGAATCTGCTGCACACCTTTCCTGTCATGACTTTAACAGCTGGAAATCCTTTAAAAAAAGCCCATTCAGAGTAGAGGAAACGTTGACACCAACCCCGCCCGTTAGACAAACAGAAATCCACCATATTTTTATTATTCTCATGAGTCAGGCAGCTGTCTGCTTATCCCACCTGCTGCTGCAGGAACACGTAACGCTTTGAGACGCAGGCAAACAGGTGAAAGGTGTTTTAGTCATCCTTTCCAAAAACATCAGGGAGTTGCTGGAGCTGCTGTTCCACTAACACAAAACAGGGATTTCATTCTTACTTTAGCAGCAGAAATGATGTTGCACAAGCAAAATTTATGTTTATTCTCATTCAACAATTTATTGAATCAGTTGTTTTCCTTTCCAACACATATTTATATTTTACTATTGGATGAATTTTATGAGTCACTCAAGCAATTAAATGTCCTTACCAGGAAATCATTACTGATATAAATTTGTTATAAAAGTATTACTGATTGCACTTTAAAAATTAGGTAACTTTATGTTATTAAAGGTAAAGTTTAAACAGTAATGATTTCTTGGTTAATGTCAAGTTGTCATAACAAAGACATTTTGAATAATGTCAACTTTGTATTAAAAGTGTCATAATTTACCGAATGACGCTTTATGACAACAGTCATAAATATTCATGAAGGCTTATTCATGTTCATGACATGTGTTATGTCATGTTTATGACAGTGTCATGACAGTCTTATTCACCCCCTTCAAATAAGGTGTTACCAAAACAACAGAAAACAAAGTGACCTTTACAAACAACAGGCACATTTACAGCGTCTTTATTTTATTATGCAGCAGGTGACAACATGTTTAACGGAGGCTCAGCCCCCACAAACGGCAACAGTGATGCAACACACAAGCACAAGCGACATCAAGTGAAGGAACCTGGAGGTTTACAGCAGTGATTTATAAAAATCTGTGCACTGCACAGCATTGGTGATCAGATAAAACAGAGACAATGCTGAAAATAATCCCACCAACATGACAAGATGCTGCTGCTTTAAACTCTAAAATCCTCTAAAATCTTCCTGTTTGCTGCAAGTCTCTAAATATACAGACTTTTGTCTAAAAATGGTCATTTCTGTCTCCAGAACAACAACCTGGAACCTAAAGCATTCAGCTGAATACATTCATATTAGTGGGATCTAGAAGAAATATTGGACATTCATGTGTAAATATTTTGTCCTCTGTGGTTTTTTAACTGAGCATCCTAATATATAGGATAGCGTTTGAAAAGTTGCACAAAAAATATAAAAAGTCAAAAATTAACAACAATTTGAGTACACAGCCTGCTGTAAAATGTTATTTATTCATTTATAAATGTCATAGTTTCAAGCTACATATTTAGTTTAAAAATTTAATATTTAGGTTCAAACTTAATATTTAGTTAGCAAAGGTAAATATTAAGCTTTAAATATTTAGCTAGCTAGCCAAAAAGTTTGCTTGAAACTAAATATTTGCAAAATATATTTAGCTTCAAACTAAATTGCTAGCAAGCTATTAAGTTTGAAGCTGGATTTTTTGTTAAATCTTTAGTTTGAAGCTAGATATTTAACTTGCAAAGTAAATAATTAACTTAAATAGTTTGTTAGCAATTTACCTTAATGCTAAATATTTAGTTAGTGCACCAAATGTTTAGTTTTGAAGTCAAATGTTTAGTTTGAAGCTAAAAATTCCACTTGCTAAGTAAATATTTAGATTCAAGCTAAATATGTACCATGCTAACTGTTCAGTTTGCTAGTTAAATATTTACTCCATCCACCCATCCATTCATCCATCCATCTGAAACTGTGACACTTATGAATTAATAAATATCATGGTGAAAATATGATATTGAACAATAAACCACCTTTAATCGGCTAAATAACACAAATTGTTGCTTAAACTTTTCGGTTGTGTAACTTCACAAACGGCAGCTCAGGCTAATCTGGCTCTCAGTTCTGCTCAAAAAGAAGGACAAAGGTTAGATAAAGTTTAAAAAAAAGCCTCATCTGTTGTTTGTTCTCAATCGGTTATTAAATTTGTGTTTAGCGCCATCGTTTGCATGCTAGGTGTGTAAATCTCAGGCCCCAATTTCCACCATGAAGAAACATCGCAGAAGCACTTAAAAATCCAAACCAAACCTTTCATTTCTTAAGTTTCCTTATTCTTCATCTCTATGAAAGTTTTGAAGGAAAATAAAGAATAACAGCAACAATTTGACTTCATTTGTGTAAAATAAAAACAATTACAGACATTAAATATATTAGTGAGAAGGGATGAGGGTTTTAAACACGTGCTACCATAAAGTAGCAGCCAAAGAATGAGAATTCAACCATTTTAATTTATATTATAAAAATTATGTGAAAAGATTTTTCTCGCTTTTAAAAACTTAAATAAATTTTATTTGTTTTTTCCGCTCAGTGGTGAATTTCTGCTGCTCCTGCGTTTTATTCTGTTCCTGGCTTTTACTGCAGAGAAGAAGAAAAAAAGTCAAAACAAACAAGAAATACTTCAATAAGTGTGTAAAACACATTACAGGGCTTCTGCTCACCATCTGTGCACTCCACTTTGGGTTTCTCCCAGGTCCCGTCAGCTTGGCACCGGACCACAGGTAGATGGCGCTGTCTAAATCCTGGGTTGCACTGATAACGGATGATGGAGTTGACGGGATACTCCGACCTCCGGTTTCCAAACATGCGCGTGTTTTTCACCACAGGCGGAGCTCCGCAAAACACTGCAGGCAACAGACAAACAACCACCTGAGTCACTGATTCCTGTAAAAATTTAAACTTTATTGGTAGGAAAACCAATAAGGAAAATAAAGAATAGGAGCGATAGGGGGTCACAGCCACCAGGGGGCGTCAGAGCTGCATGTTCAGCATCATCTCAGGAGAATTTTAATTTCTTTCTTGTCTTTGTGTGTTTTCTCAAATGTATGACGGTTTGCCAAGACTATTGTAAACAGAAAAACAAAGAGAGAAGTAAATTTCCACCAAAAAGTTTGAAAAGTCAAAAATATTATATCCCACATGATAGAGATGAAAGCAGAGAAGAAATGAATTTCTTCTTCGCCTTAGAAAGGTGCAGTAACTTTGTTGCTTTGTGCTCTTTGCGACCCCTGGTGGCCAGAATCAGGTACTGCTCTGAGCTCTGTGCAGCGGCCCGGATCAGATGCGGTTCGGTGGACTCACATACCTGGTCCCTTCTTGCAGATGAACGGCAGGTGGTAGTTGCAGGGAACGTCGTTCCACTTTCCGTTCTCATGCCAGATCAAAACCACGCAGTCCTCTGCTGAGTTCAGGTAATTCTCTGGCTGGTTCAGCTTCCAGTTCTCATATTGCTAAAAAATTAAAATAAATAAATAAAAAAGGATAGAAATACAAAAAGATATTCGTCTTTGATATTATGAAGCAAGTAATTTAGAATTAACAGAATAAGAGAATGAAACCTGATTTTCCAGTAGTTATGTATTTTCTAAACTTTTTATATGTATCTTTTATTTTTATATGTTCAGTTGATTCGTTTGCACTAATTGTTTTTGTTTTTGTTTTGTTTTGTTTTTTTGTTTTTTTTGGGGGGGGTGTCTTTGTGTCTTATCTTATATATTTTTTAAACTTATATATTTTAGGTCATTCTATTATGTAGATTTTCTTATTACTTTCCATTTAAGCTTGTATTGTCACTTTGTAGCAATTTGCATGTCGTTTTGATTATTTCATCTGTTAATGAACCTTTAGCAGCCATTCTGAATTTTATTTTTGTTATTTTGTCCCGTTGGTAAAGGAATATTTTGGTTCATCCCCGCCTCTCACCCTCTCACCCGAAACGTCTGCTGTAGAGGCACCAGCAACCCTCCGGACCCCACTAAGGGACAAGGGTGTTAGAAAATGGATGGATTTAGGTTCGTTTAGCCAGAGAAATTTTATATAGGTTTTATTTTCATCATGTTTTTTATACGTTTATAAATGTCAGAGTTCCAAACTAAATATTAATTTCACAAGCTAAATATTTTGTCCACAAACAAAACAAATTAGTTTGCAAATTTAATACTTTGTTAGGAAGCTTAAAAACTAAATATATAGACAACAAAATAAATGTTTAACCTTGAGTTCAATATTTACTTTGTGAACTAAATATTTAGCTTACAAATTTCATATTTTGTTAGGAATCTAAATATTTACTTTCTTCGCACGTTAATAGCTGACATATCTGCCTTTACAGAGCTTGTTCTGCCTTGTGGGTTGGTTATACAATTATTTCCAGTAAATTTTAATTATCTTAATTCTTTATTTCCACATTTATAAAAGTAGTTTGTTCCTAACATGAACTGTCTGAAAATTTAAGCTAAACCCTGTATTCACCAGAGGAGAGCCGTCCGTCCACTGGAAATCGTTCTGCACCGTTTTGTCGTTCAGGCCGATCCACTGGTAGTCCTGCGCATTAGCTGTGAAAAACAAACACACTCAGATCATTTTCATTCCCTCTCACATCCCCAAACTGATCCAGACGAGTCGCTCACCGCTGACAAACTGCTGCTCCTCTGGCGTGATGATGCTGACCAGGTGAGCGTTCAGGTGCCGGCAGCGTTGCTCCGCCTCCAGCCACTCCGCCCTGTCAGAGACGTGCAGGTAGCAGTTTCCCTGAAACTTCGTCCAGCCGTCCTCACATCGCTGCTCCTCTGCAGCCGCGAAACACAGGAAACCATGAAGCAACTCGCAGAACGAAAAGCCTCCATTTGCAACTTTAAGCAACAGTCTTTAAATGTTAGAATCTTTTGCTGGTATCAAATTATTTCACATTTGTGTGAAAATGTGTTCTTGTGTACTAAAATGCAAAACCCCATCCAAATAATTTACTGTTTTGTTGATAAAACATTATTTGATCTGCTGCTTCATCTGAATTACTTTCTTTCTGTAATTTGATTTTAAAAAAATTAAAAATCAATTAAACTATTTTTGCATTTAATATCTTAAAAGATTAAATGTTTGAACAATATTGGTTTTATTTCCATACTATAAAACATACATTTCTCTGAGAAATTAGTCATTAATTTATACTAGCCCTACAAACCCACAAATCATGACAAGCCTGGAGACAAACGTCCAGCTAACTGAGGAGCTCTGAACAGCCAAACCCTAAACACAAACGTCAAACCTTATTCAACTCAAAGTTTACCAAACAGCCAAGTAAATTTCACAGTTTATCTGCAAAAATTATCTCAGGGGAAAATAAATGTGCTAAATTTGTATTAGCAAACAATTAGCGCCACTATTGCCAGATGACCAGAAGTGTGCCTGGACGCCACATCCTACTACCAGGGAACATAATGAATGCAAAACACTCACCTCTTCACATAAAAACATATGCGTTCAAAGTTTTTGTAATTTTACTGAAAATGAAGTAAAATCACAAAGATAAAGATAAAGTCGACTCCAAACAGCGCTGACTCTGGGAACCGCACCACGCGGTTTCCCAGGTTTACCCTCCTGTAGTTGTTTTTGACTGGTCCTTGTTAGTATTTATTAGCTGAAGCTGATCTCATACCGATCTCACAGCGTTCCCCTCCGTAGCTGGGCAGGCATAAGCATTTGAAAGAGTCTGCACTCTCCACACAGGTGGCTCCGTTGGAACAAGGGTTGGGGTGGCACACTTCTGCCTCTGGAAAACACGGTGGGCAGTTGACACTACGGCTTAAGTGGGAGTCGAGGGCGAAGATGCACCAAAAGACTGAGATAATTGGAGATGTGATAAACGACTACCACACCTTCAATAAAGACTGTGAACATTGTAGATGCTGCAACTTCAGATCCAAAGTATTGCAAATTCCAAATATTTTTATCCAAATTAAAGAGGCTGAAATTTGAATATTTATGTTTGAATCCGTTCTTAGTTGCAACAGATTAGTCGTCAAGTCCAGTTGGACGAAGAAGTTCAAGAATGCAAGCATGAATTTAAAGCGGCAGAGCAAAGGCAGTGCAGGCAGGCAGAGCAGACCAAAAAACAACATAGATGTACGTGCCATATTTTACATGGAGGGGGAGCATCACCAGAGCAGAGCTGATGCATGTTTGACAAACACTCTGCATAAAAACGTAAAAACAACACATGAAAACGCAAGTTTGATGCAAATCACACCAGGAAACGACAACAACGATGAGGTTGGTGGGAAGGTGCAGTGACACAGTCCCATACAGTCAGGCATGCACAAACAATACAAAACATGCCAACAACAAAAGTACACATTCATTTATGAATAAAGCCACCAAAACGACAGAAAACTGAGAAGAGGAGAATAAATGGAAAGCTTACCAAAGCAGAAAGCAACTCCTTCCTCTATTGTGCACGAAGCATTGCCACAAGGATTTGGTTCACATGGGTTGGAAGCTTCAAAGATAGAAAAGATCAGTCAAGAATTGTTTTTTGATTAGATGTGTCACCATACGTTAAGGGTGTATTCTCAATTATTTAGGACATAGCGGTCTTAAGAGTTAAAATGAAGGCAACTGAACTTCTCTTGCTATATTGAAGACGCATTGTCATCAAAGGCACTTGAAGACGTTTCGTTACTCATCCAAGGGATCTGAAATTGTGTCATCTCTCATCTCTTGAGAGTTCTTTTTATCTTGAAGACATTTTATCTTCAAAGTAACAAAATAGACCAAGTTGCCTTCATTTAACTCTCAAGACGAGCCAACCATTTTGTCTCTTCCTATTTGGAGGTAGTTTGTTTTAATCAATCTAAACACCTGAGGTGCTAGAACATCCTTAAACTGGTCTCATGTCACCGCGTGTGCTGATAATATAATATGCATGTTTAAGAAAATCATCATTTCTCAAGCTGAACCATCTCTGTGGTGGACACGAAATGATTGTTACCAAGTTCCACCCCAAAAGGTCAGGAACGAACCAATGAAAAAACAATTAGGTAAAATGACAAACATGAAGAGAGAAGCAGAAGAGATGAGGATGACCTACCTCCTAGGACAACTGGTGTTTGCACAAAAGCTGGTTTGACTTCTGCAGAAGGAGCTGCTAATCCTGCAGGGACAACTGCTGGTCCTGGAGAAACATAAACTCTGGAGTTGTGTGTCAGTTCAGTTCCATGAATATCTTCCTCTGTTCTTATGGTGGGTTCTGTTAGTGCTGGGTCAACTGATGGAGCGGGTAGGACCACCACCAGTGGATCAGAAGAATCTCCAGAAGAAGAAACCCCCAACATGAAAGTGTGATCCTCAGATAAGTCCTTGTTTCCGTCACCGGAGTAGAAACCATTGTTGCCACTTGCTTCTCCACTGTACTCCACTGAGTTTTCTCCCGGCTCCAGAGGGACCTTATAATCTCCAGGTATTTCTGTCATTAGACCCTGAGTGAAAAATGTAGCACTGCCCTCTTCCTCACCTTTGGTTGTTGATGTTTCAGATTTAGAGACACCGGATCCAGACACTCCAGCTCTAGTATCAAAACTGCAACTTGAGATTCTAAATCCAGATATCTGCCCCCCACTTTCTGGTCCAGAGCTGTAGAATAAACCCCCAGTAGCCTCCTCGTGTTCTCCAGAAGGTGACCCAATAAGCTTAGTGAAGCCTGAACCCATAAAAGTCACACCAGTAAGAGACTCAGAGTCACTTCCAGAGGTTGACCCACTGAGAATCCCAGATCCAGATAAGCTTCCAGAACCACTGAAATCTAATGAACCTCCATCAAGGTTGTACTCCTTCTTTGCATTAATCAGTTTGTCATTTGCTATCAAGATCGGAGCATCTCCACTTCCAGAAATGTCTCCAGATCGTCCACTTCCAGATGAAGATCCAGATAGAAAACCACTAAAACCTGACAACTCCTGGTCCAAGATAAGACCCGTGCCAGTGAGATGTCCAGCATCCTTTTCAATGGAGTCAAATCCAGATCCAGACCCGGACATATCTCCACTTCCACTGAGTTCCCCAGAATCAGCTGCAGACAAAGGGATTATAAGAATGTCTGTGCTTCCTTTTCCAGCCTCTTGAGGTTCTCCTGACGTTGAGCCCTCTACTGCAATGCAGGGTCCAGAGAAAACAACTCCGAGTCCTGACCCAGAACCAGATGGACTGGCCAAACCGGATCCTTCACTGGACAGCACAGTCTCTGTGTACCCGTCTTGGTCTCCAAAGGTGATTTTGCCTCCAGAACCAGATATATCTCCAGAAGTAACCTGGTCTCCAGAACCAGACTGATCTCCAAAACCAGACTGACCTCCAGAGGTGATACAGTCTCCAGATCCAGACTGATATCCAGATCCAGACTGATATCCAGAGGTAACCTGCTCTCCAGATCCAGACTGATCTCCAGATCCAGACTGATGTCCAGATCCAGACTGATCTCCAGAAGTAACCTGGTCTCCAGATCCAGACTGATCTCCAGAAGTAACCTGGTCTCCAGATCCAGACTGATATCCAGAGGTAACCTGCTCTCCAGATCCAGACTGATCTCCAGATCCAGACTGATCTCCAGATCCAGACTGATCTCCAGAGGTCACCTGGTCTCCAGAGTTAACTTGTACTCCAGAGTTATCTCCTGTAGGGCCTGAATCAAAGTCTCCTGAATCAGATCCAGAACTTGAAATCTCCACAGGAATGGGAGGAACGATGAAGAAACCATCTAAAACAAGACGTGAGCAAACATTTTAACATTCATGGGTCAAATTCCCAAAATCGACCTATTATTTGAACTTACCGGGCCTTAATAAGTCAGTATTCGATGTCTGGTTAGGTAGGGCCTTCTGGATGTCGGTGATGTTCAGTTCAGTTTCATTTGATTCAGACAGAAAGCCAACTGCAATGATAAATCAGTAAAAGAAAATAATGAATCTACCACTTTAACAAATATTGAGCCAAAACGTGTCGATGTCTACCTCTTATACAGTATGCATCAAATCTGGCATCAGGTTCAGGGTAGTGTGTTTGGTTTGGAGGAGAGTACAAAGTGTGGACCCCTGATTTCTCTCCACACCCAGGACGGGGGCTGTTGACGGGGTAGCGAACACTGCGGTCCAGTAGCCAGCCTGCTCGGCACTTGTCCAAGCCCAGTTTCCAGGCTGCATAGAGCTCTCCAGTGGAGGCTAGAACCGCACTGTGGTTTTCACAGGCAGAAGCAGCCTCGTCGTAGGTGAAACCCTCAGCAGATCCCACATGAAAAACCTCTCCTGTGCAGTGAAAACCTTTGGTTATACAACCTACTTGGAATTAAATCTTACCAGGTAAGACTGACATTAGTCACCATTGATCCCCTCGGTGTAGCAGTAAACATCGTATCTCTCCTCTGCTGGTCTGAGGCCATACGTCCGAACTCCAGGTTGATCTCCAAGATCTCCAGCACATTTTTCTTGAGGAAACACAATAGAATACCTACACAGAAGCAAATTACATTTTAGAAAATATTTGCTTCCAGAGATTCGAAAACCTACTTTTGGGATTTACCTCACAGTCTGGTCCAGAAGCCAACCTGCATCACATTGGTGATATCCATCCTCGTATGCTTGCTGCAGCTGCTGCGGTGTGGCCATGGAGCCTCTGACACCCCGGCAGGCCAACTGAGCCTCAACGAATGTGAGAGCATAACGGCCAGAGGGTGAGCGGTAATGGAAGACCACGCCTACAGTTTAAAGGAAGAAGCTAGTCACCAGTTTCCTCACTACATCTCTAACATATCTCCCGACCTTAGTGATATTGCAAACCATTGGTCTTCTTGACCAAGGGTGAGCAATGCTAACTAAAATGTTACTGGCACAAACTCCAAAGCTTAAATGTTGTACCAACACAGTATTTAGTGGGAGCTAATGTTAAGGCACTCAATTCAATCAGGTTGATATCCATCATGTGACATTGGCACAACATGTAGCTACTACAACACAGAGTATCAT